GAAACATGGACCATTGTATGATATTGTACAACGAGACACGTTTGGTTGTGAACAAACCCTCCAATCATGTCCTCGAATGTAAGATACATAGTCGTGACCACGCAAATGATAATGAGTCGATACCTCAGATGACGATAACTCTTTTTGATGCAATAATACCTTTTAAGTTTCAGCGAAGACAATTTCCTTTTATGGTTTCTTACGCAGTGACCATAAACAAGAGACATGATCAATTCTTATCGCATGTTTACTTATTCCTGAAGAAACGATTTTCTGCCATGGTCAATTGTATGTTGTAGTTTTCTCGAGTACTCACTAACCGAAAAGTAGTTCGAAAGTATTAATTTGTGGTGAAAATGGCTCGCCGTAAAATCAAATAAAAAATATTGCATACTGAGAATTGTTCAATAATATATAATTATTCATTTTCTATATTTATTTTGTATCCATACTAAGATGAAATGTAAAAAAAAATATACATAAACAATTATATTTAAAATAAAATCTTAAAAAAGATTTTAAGGCACAATCTCCTTCATGCATTGCATGGGTAAAACATGTGTTATTACCACGAACATGTAGGGAAAGAGAGATATAAGATCTAACCCTTTCATCATGTACAAAGGACACTTTTCAGTTCTATAAATATTTACACTCTACTCGGTAGCTTTATAGTTACTTAAACCCTCCTCCTTTTGAAAGTATTAAAATAAAAATTATCAGTAACAACATATGGTAAAAATCATAAATCAATGTGATAAAAAAATATTAAACTGATTAAAGTAATAAATATTAATCTCCAATAAATAGGGGTTTACTACTCGTGAGCACCAGTCACGAGCTAATTAACTATTGGTTTATTTATCATGTCCAAGGCTTGCACATGGTCCTATTATATTGGATCAAATTATGAAAGCCTCAGTTAATTAGTATATATTATTAATTAAGTATATGTATTATTAATTAACATATATATAGGCTTTTGAATTGTAAGTAAACGATTAAATTATGATGTGTGATGGTACGCGTGATTAGTTACACACAAAGCTTTAATTAATTGTTTTGTAACAAGAAAAAAAAAAAGCTTTGAATTGTTTGTAGGATATTAGAATTAATTATGTTGCTTGAGACTAGAGATGTTAAACGGGTTAGTCTTAGCGAGTTTCGGGCTAAACGGTCCGGGCCTAAAAAGCCCAGATTTAAATTGAGTTATCAATAAACGGACATAACCCTAACCCTAGCGGGCCTCGGGCTACAGGGACTATAATAATAATAATAATAATAATAATAATAATAATAATAATAATAATAATAATAATAATAATAATAATAATAATAATAACAATAACAATATATCAAAATTAAAAAAAATATATAAAAAAAATTAGAACTGCTAGTTATCGATTGTTTTTTAACAATTATTTGTATTTACTGCTCTATATATACAACTACCCTCATATATGAACACACATAAAAAACACTTAATGACGTATTTTTTCTCAAAATAAAACAAAAATGTTGGAACTATTACTTACAATTACATTTTACTATTATTTTGTACACTTTGAAAATTTTTACGATATTGTATCAGACTTTTGAATTTATATTTTATCACTATGTTTTGTGTGTTAGGTCTTTGTCTCTTGTGTTTTTATTAGCCTTTCTGATTGGCTTAAATATTTTGGTGTGAAATATAATAACAGAATTGTTAATAATAATCTTTCAAAATCATCATAGCCCGTTACAACTCATACTTAGAATAACTTAGAATAAAAAAATTGTAATATATAAGGAATCTTCGAGCATATTTTTTACATGTTGCAAACATTTACACAGTCCAACTAAAGTTAGACGGGCTAGCCCTAGCATGCTTCGTACTAAACAGTTCGGGCCTAAAAACCCTGATTTAAACGGACTACCAATAAAAGACCTTAAACCTATTATTTTATAATATGATAAACATTATAGATAAAAGTATGATATACATATCTCCAACTCAATAGTCAATTCATGATAATTTAATAAACATCATAAATAAAAAGTATGATATTTTATGTTTTGATTATAATTTTTTCTTAAAAAATAATAATGGATCAATATTCGACTATCAATTAAATTGTCTTACAGCATCTCCACTGCTAAATGTTGTAGTAGTAAATTACATTCAACATCAACACATTTATTAATATCACAATTTTCCATCCTCCAATGTACAATGTGATCACAAATGTTGTGATGATGTGGACATAATTAATGTCTACAACGTAGAGAAGAATGTGGTTCATCCACATTCTACTTCACACTCTAATTAGCCAACGGGGAGAAGAGAGAATTATTATTACAATTTTTAAACTATTCAATTATTTAATTAGTTTTTTATTAATTCATATTAAAATTTTATCGTTTGGCAAGTAAATAATATTATAATTAGGCAACATTGTGCATTGGAGATGATTTTTTAATTTAATAGTTATGAACTCAAAATTTATCCTACATGGTTTACAATCTATTTAATATTTTTGACATTTGTAAAAAAATTTCTATAACAACATTAGCTCTTATTCATAAAATTGTATATAAAATTTTGTATTTATATTGATTCAACAATTTGAACCTAATTAATTTTTTTATATATATAGAGAAAGGATGGCAAAATGTAACGTAGCTTAAATTAAGGCCTGAGAAAACAGAATCGAAAACGCAAGGGCTATTTGTCCACTTGGGTTTGCTCCATGTCCTTTGACTTTTTGCCTAAGCTTTTTACAAAATAAAATTTTATTTATATTTTTATTAGCTCTACTAATTAATTAAACTGCAAAAAAAAAAAAAAATTAATTATACTAATTTCACGATTAAGCAATCTATGAAATTTCACTTAAATTAGTTCTTAAAAAAAAAAAATTTAAAAGGAGTACTCTGTGAATTAACGGAATAAAATAGAAGTGTTGAAAAAAAAAATAAAAAAAATTAAATGTATGAAAGGCATTCATTTAACCACCCACCGTATTTGGTGTGGGTCTCGTGGACATTGAGATATGATGACGCAAAGTAAACAGTTGTCTCCAGTCATGAATTAATTTTAATTAAAGGGATGTTTGAGGTCTCGTTACGAAACTATTCTGTCGAGGTTTATAATCGTTAAATCATCATGAAATCACCGGAATAGATGATCTAACGGGCACAGACCCGACATTATGGTTTCAAACGAGACTGTAGCATTTTCTTTAACTGTCGAAGATAGATGATCTATGGTTACGGACTCCGACGATATGGTTCCGGGACCGTAATATTTCCCTTTAATTTATACTATCATATTAATTTCTAAAAGTTGAGTCCACATCTCAACCTTACTAGCAGAACTAACCGTGATTGGCCCTTTTTTGCCTTAATTTTTGGAAGACAATATTATATACTATGTCTCTAGCTGCGGGCCCCACTTTCTTATATTGGGGGCCAAAAATTTTCAGTATAAAAAGGAGGTTGAACTTGAACAAAAATGCTTCATCCAAAGAAACTCAAAACAAGTTGGCCTTTGTTTTTTTTTTCTACTTTAATTAATATTCATTTTCTCCCTTTTCCCACTACACAAAGTAGCATTTGCATACACATTATATATATCTGAAAAAAAAAAAAATCTTATTCGATTTCTTGGTATCATCTCAATATTTATTCGATCATGGGGCGGATGATGACGATCGAGCAGGAGGGCCGCGGTCAAAGCGTTAGCTTGTCGAGGATTGCAGTTTCGGACACTCACGGCGAAGATTCGCCGTATTTTGCTGGGTGGAAAGCGTACGATGAAGACCCTTATGACGAGTCACTCAATCCCTCGGGCGTCATACAAATGGGACTCGCCGAAAATCAAGTATGTAACTACCGGCCCCTAATTAATTAAAATACTATAATTTCGTTATTTACTACCGTTGTAGTAATTTTTTTTCTTTCTTTCGACTATTGTGTACGCAGGTTTCGTTCGATTTGGTAGAGCAATACCTTGAAAAACACTCGGATGCTACTAACATTGGTGCAAATTCTGGATTCAGGGAGAATGCCTTGTTTCAAGACTATCATGGCCTTCTGTCTTTCAGACAGGTAAATAATAATAATGCATGCATATTGCAATTGTACATAATATAACAATAAATTAATTAAGCGTCATAAAAACAAAAACAAATAGCATGAATTCAATTATATTATTTTTTTTTTTCATTTTATATATATATATATATTTTTTTTATTTTAAATTCAGGCAATGGCAAGTTTTATGGAGCAAATAAGAGGCGGCCGAGCAAACTTCGACCCTGAAAGAATTGTAATTACAGCTGGCGCCACCGCCGCCAACGAGCTCCTCACCTTTATCCTCGCCGACCCGGGAGACGCCGTCCTCGTCCCTACCCCTTACTATCCAGGGTCAGTTACATAAACTAATATTTATTTAATACCATGCATAAAAAATGTATTATATAAAATGATTACAGCCCGTCCCGAAATGATCATACACTAAATAATTTATATGTGTACCTAAAGACTAATAATAACCACACAGCCATTCCATATACTAATCTACATGTGTATCTAAAAGGCTAATAATAACCATGAAATAATGACGGGACTATAGTGATTCCCTATATTATAACTTGAAAAAAAAATGACAAAATTACAAAAATATTAATTCAAGACGACGATTATTGACAGGTTCGACCGAGACCTCCGCTGGAGAACTGGTGTGAACATCATCCCCGTTCACTGCCACAGCGCCAACAACTTCGCGATCACACCCGAAGCCCTCGACTCGGCCCTCAAACATGCCCGTGCATCCAACACAAATGTCCGGGCCCTCCTCATCACGAACCCTTCCAACCCGCTCGGGGCCACCCTCTCGCGCGCCACCCTCGACCTCGCCCTCGACTTCGTGTCTTGCCACGACCTTCACCTGGTCTCGGACGAGATCTACTCGGGCTCCGCCTTCTCCCCCGACGAGTTCGTCAGCGTGTCCCAAGTCCTCGAGTCCAGAGGATATAAAGACGCTGAGCGTGTCCATGTCGTGTACAGCCTGTCGAAAGACCTCGGCCTCCCGGGCTTCCGCGTGGGGACGATTTACTCGTACAACGACCGGGTGGTCCAGACGGCACGGAGAATGTCGAGCTTCACGCTCATCTCGTCGCAGACGCAGAAGTTACTGGCGTCGATGCTTTCGGATAAAGAGTTCACGGAGAAGTACGTTAGGATTAATCGGGAGAGGCTGAGGGGGAGGTACGAGGCGACGGTAGAGGGTT